CTCTTGAGCACTCTCCAGAATAGGGGAGGAGTTCTCGTGTGCATATTAGTTGAAGTGTTTTTTTAAAAAAAATATTTATTTTGGGGTCAGCAGGTGGCATGGTGGTTAAGAACGCTAGATTCCCACATGGCTGGCTGTGGTTCGTGTCCCGGATCTGGTGGCTTGCTTTCTCACTTTCCTCCTCTCTCTCTCTCTCTCTCTTTCTCTCTCTCTCTCTGTCTCTCTCTGGTCAAATTTAAATAAATAAATAAATAAAGTTAAAGTAATTCAGGGCCGGCAGGTGGTGTGGTAATTAAGGGTGCTAGACTTCCACATAGCTGACCGCAGTTCAAGTCCTGGACCTGGTGGCTTTCTCTCTCTCTCTCTCTGTTCTCCTCTGACCAAATTGAAAATAAGTAAATAAGTGAATAAAGTTAAATAAAAGAATTTTTAAATTAAAAAATAAGTAATTAAAATATTTAATGTTATTTATTATTCTTAAAATAATTATTCTATTTATTTATTTTGACCAGAGAGAGACAGAGAAACAAAGTGAGAATGCAAGCTGCCAGTCTGGGACTTGAGCCGCAGTCAGCCATGTGGGAGTCCAGAGCCTTCACCACCACGTTACTTGACGGTCCCTGTTTTTTTGTTTTGTTTTTTTTTTTCTAATTTGCTAGAGGGTACATTTGCTAACCAGAGAGAGACAGAGAATGGCAAAGCAAGCCGCCAGGCCTGGGACTCGAACCACAGTTGGCTGTGTGAGAGTCCATTACCTTAACCACCATGCCACCTGATGGCCCCATTAGTTCAAGATTTTAAGCAACTCACTGCAGTTTTCTGCTCGGGCCACCCCTCCAGCCTCTGATACACGTGCACATGCATGTGCGCACATGCATACAGACACACACGGCCCCGCCATTTCGAGAGCCTGTGCTGGGCAGCAGCCTTGTGGCCCAGTGAGCAGAGCTGCGGCCAAGCGCCTGCCCCGAGGCTCAGCCAGGGTGCAGGGCCACGTGGCAGCAGCAGGGCCCGTGTCAGGCTGTGGTCTAGGCCTGGAAGGACAGAGGCGGCCTGGCCTGCCTGGCACACACAGCTGCCAGGGAGCCCTCCCTGTGCTGCCGAGCACTGCCAGCTCCAGGAGCAGCGCCTCGCTGTGTCCACAGAGGGCAGACTTCCTGCCCCGGCCAGGGGCCTCCCGAGCCCTGGCCTGCCACTCACCAGGCCGGCGGGAAGACAGTACTGCGTGTATACGGGGGAGCACGCAGTCCACACGGCCGCTGCAGAGGTGTGGCTACAGAGCCCCGGGCCCTCCCCGGCAGGGCTGGCCCCCGTTGGCACTGGTGACAGTTCCGCCTGTGCACAGCCAGTGCAGGGCACGGTGGTCCCGGCTCCAGACAGGCCGTGGTTGCCAGCCCTGGCTTCCCGCCATTTTAACACAGGTCCTCGTGCACTGCCCTCACAGGAGCCAGCATTGCAGGGACGCCGACCCTGTGCAGGGCAGTGGTCCCCACGTCGGCACCTCTGGTCTTGAGGCCAGGCCACAGTCCCAGAGACCAGAGAATGCACAGTGTACCGGGAGAGTATAACCTTCAGCACTCCCGCCCGGGAGGCACCGCTGCCAAGACAGCCTCTGGGAGTCCCCCCACCCATCCGCCTGTCGAACTCAGCCCTGGTGTCTGTCGCCCTGCCCTTGAAATTGGGTGCCTGGGAAAGTCACCCTTCTTAGCGGAATTGGGCTGTGGTTCGTTTTCATCAATGTCCTAATACCTCCTCGTGGTTTTGCAGGGGTGTTTTTCAGCCTTAATCGAGGTTAGCATTCGGGGGCTCCATTTACGATGGCCTCAGCGCCGAGCCTGGCACCGGGATAGAGGCCTTGTGAGGGGGACCTCAGCAGAGGAGCCTGCAACTCGCTGTCCCTGCACCTGGCAGGTGGTGCTGGGGGAGGGGCAGGAGTGAGGTCCTGGGAGGGGGCAGGAGAGGCAGCGTGGCAGGTTCCCTCCCTCTCCTCTCTTTTTCACCTTTTTTGAGAGAAACACCTGCTGTAGGCGGTCCCCTCTTTCCTGAATCCAGTCTCCCTGACCCCCTGGGGAGCCAGCTGAAAGGGGTGGGGACCTGCCCCCAGTCTCGCAGAGACTCCCGTGGGCAGTCCTGGTCCTGGCCACAGCCCTGATGCAGACCTGGGCCGTGGGGAAACGCCCACAGTGTGGGACAGGCTGAGGGGAGGGAGCCCTAGCAAGCCCAGGCCGGGTGCACGCCGGCTGCAGCCCTCCGAGATGACCCTGCGGGGCGGGGTGGGGGCAGCTCAGCTCTGCCAGGCATCCTGATTAGCTGTTCCCTGCTTAGCCGCCTGGCCTGTAACTGTGGTTGCTGGGCAACGATATTCTGGTCACCTAGCAACAGCCCTGTTCCAGGCCAGTCCTGCTTGCCCAGCATCTCAGCCCTGCCTTCCCCTCCTCCACCGGGGCCCCTCCTTCCAGGGCACCTCCGCACCTCTGTGGCCAGTGTGGGGGGTCTGCCCCCTGGCTCCCAGTCAAGAGAAAGCAAGGCCCTACCCCTTGTCCTGAAAGGCTCCCCCTGGGCACAGCAGTCTCTGGCCCGGGCTTTGGGCTCTGGAAGGCTCCATTCTTGCCGCTGATGACATGGTCACCCTCAGACCTGGGGAGGACTCTTGCTCCCCGAGGGGGAGCCAAGGGACTGATGCTCACAGGCCTTAGGCTGGGGAGGAGGATCCAGCCACGACCCCTGGGCTCTGGGAGAAAGCCCACCAGCAGGGCCTGCACACAGGGCAGGGGAAGCAATGGAGGAGGTGGGCATTGGGGAGCACTCCTCGGGCAAACAGGGGCCAGCCAGCTGGCTGCTGGAGGCCTCGGCTGCTATGTCACGGGCCAGCAAGGTGGGCAGCCACATCTGTGTCACCCGTGTCATGACATAGCCATGGCTTGGGGGCTCCGGGGAACACCTACCCTGCCCCCATTGTCACTTCACAGTGTGACCGGCCTGCTTTCTCGGCCCTGGCCTCCGTGGGATGAGGCTTTACCAGCTGAACCTGTACCCCAGAGGCCGAGAAGCAGGCAGTGTCTGTGCAGCTCCCAGGGCCCTGGGCTCCCCTGCTTAGGCCCCGACGTGCCACCCGCACTGGGCCACTCGCTTTCGGTTAGCATGTGCTGCAGGGCCCGGGGCACCCCGACCCTGACAAACAAGGGATCTGGGCCCGCGCTTGGCTTCCCTCATGCTCTTCTCTCTCGTGACATTTTGCACGGTAAGTGAAGAGGTGACTGGACCAACCTGCTGTCCGGGAGGAGCTTCCCGTGCCCGGCTCACACCCTTTCTGGGTTTGCTTTGTTTGTGGGTGTGCAGGCCAGGGTGGGGGCTTCGTCTTGCCCTCCGTTCGTCCATCGGGTCGCCTCTAGCCCTGGAAAGCGAATCTGGTCCTGAGCGTGGGTCCTGGGGTACAACAGCCTGGGTGGCCCGGGCAAGTCGCTGACCGCTGTGCTCGGGGTTCCTCCTGGATAGAAGAGCCAGTCGAAGGGCTGTTGCTCTAGCCTGAGCGCAGGGTTAAGTGCGCTCCGCGGACGGCAGGGAGGGTGAGGCAGCTGGATCCCACCTGGCCGACTGCTGTTCAAGTCCTGAACTCAGCGGCATGAAAGTCACACTAAGCACATATGCGTGTGTACCCAAAATCTCTAGAGGAGAATGGAGAAGGGACTGTGGTGCGGTCATCCCCCTTGGGGGTGATTTCCCATTTTCCTTTTCTCTGTTCTTATCTCTCCTGTGAGCACATGTGCCCTATAGCAAAAATGTTTTTAAATGAAGAAAAAAAGAAAAAGTGGACATGAGTGATTAGAGTCTGCTGGTTAAGTGGGTGGGGTCTGCTGTGATTACTATTACAAACTGCCCTGAGGGCAGCCGGCAGGTGGCACAGTGGTTAGGGTGCTGGACTTCCACATGGCAGACCGTGGTTCAGGCCCGGACTCTGCGGCTTGAGAGAAGAATCGGGTGCACGTGTGCGCATGCCCAAAGTCCCAGGAGGTGAACGGAGAAGAGAGCGCATGGCCATCTACCCTGGGAAATGAGGGCTCACTTCCCCTCTCTATGGCCAGTGCACTTGCCCTATGGCAAAATCCCACACATAAAAAACAACTTTGCCCCAGCTGGGCTCTGGGTGGCCATTTCCCGGTCTCTGGACAGTGACTGGAGCTTCATGCTGGGACAGACGGAGAGGAGTGGCAGGCCACCCGTGGTCAGCTCTGTGGCACTCCAGTCTCTGCGTAGGCTTCTTGTCCCCAGGAAAGTCCTGTCCCCCGGGAACAAGGGGAGAGGGCAGGTCCAGGTCCTGGAAGAGCATAGGCCATGGGAGGCCACCTGCCCGCTGTGCCTGGCATGTGGGCAACCGGCCACTGAGCCGGGCCTCAGCCTCGTCTGTCCTTGGGGCCTAGTGACAGAGTGGGGGCTCCGTGTACACTCGTGCTAGGGAAACTGGGGAACAGAGCACGCTGGGGCGTCTTTTCAGAGACCAGCATCTGCCCCAAACCCGAGTAACCCCCAACGACCTCCCAGTATGGGGTATCCCGGCCCTGGTCAGGAGAGGGGGGACAAGGCCCTGGGACTGACCTGCAGTGCTGGGTGTCTCGGCTTCTTCAGGTGTGGAGTGATGCTGCAAAGCAAAAAGGAAAACAGGGACTAACTGCCATATCCCCACTCAAAAACTGCATACCCAGGGGGCAGAGATGGCATGGTGGTCGAGGTACTGGATTCCCACATGGAAGACTGAGGTTCGAGTCCCGGACCCAGCAGCCTGAAAATTACAACAGATTGGGACCAGCAGGTGGAGTGGTGGTTAAAGGTGCTGGATTCCCACATGGCCCACCGCGGTTCGAGTCCCGGACCTGGCAGTTTGCTTTTTCACTTTCCCTTTCTTTCTCCCTTTGTCTGTCTGGTCAAAGTAAAGTAAATAAATAAATAAATCACAACAAACTGAATTAAATAAATAATTCTTTTGAAAAATTACAACAGATATAGATTAAGAAAGTGTTTTTTAAAAAATGAATACCCAGGAGGAGGTGGAGTCAGCCCTCTGCCTTCACATCCATCCTCTAGCCTTCGGTCCCGCCCCAGGTGGGTCAGCCCAGACTCAGCTTTGCTCTGGCTTCTGTCCTCGGAGTCCCCTGGGAAATGCGTCCTGTCACGAGGAGAGGCCCCACATCCCAGACGCGGGCTGGCCTGTGCAGAGCCGACGTCAGAGTGAGAGTCCTCCAGCCCGGGTGGCCCCAGCGACGCAGTGCCTGGGAGTCCTGCCGGCAGGAAGGCGCTGGGGCCTCACCCTCCTCTCCCGGCAGAGATCCCCGGCTTCCTGAGTGACGAGGAGTGCCGGCTCATCATCCACCTGGCACAGATGAAGGGCTTGCAGCGCAGCCAGCTTCTGCCCACCGAGGAGTACGAGGAGGCCATGAGCTCCGCGCAGCTCAGCCCACTGGACCTCTTCCGGCTGCTGGACCAGAACCGCGACGGGCGCCTACAGCTCCGCGAGGTCGGGTCCTGGCCCGAGTAGGCACAGGCTGGGGCGCCCAGAATTACCTCTCTGGGGACCAGGTCACTTGTCCAGCTCAGCTCTGGCCCCGAGAGTCAAAGGCCACCCAGACCTACTTGGTGTGCCTGGGCCCAGGGTCCCCCTCACTTCTCTGAGGAGCCCCTTGCCACCCTGAGAACTCGGGAGCCGGGAGGCGAGTCACCTGGGGCCATGGCGTTTGTCACCACAGTGTCAGAGCGGGTCTGTGTTCCTCGCCTCATGGTGGACGAGGTACAGCTCCGCAGTGGCCCGCAGACAGTCTGCATGTCTGCCCACCCTCGCACCTGGGCTTCTGGGAGAAGTTGGGCAGGGTGGAGGCCATCACCGTTCAGAACACGCCACCAAGCCTGGTCTTGGAAAGGCCTGGGTTCGTGGCCTGGCCAGGCCTTCCCCACTGCCATTCCCTCATCACGCCCAGGCCGGGTCCCTGCTGCTGCTAGCAATGCCCCCTGATGCCTGCAGGCCCTGCCAGGCTGGCCAAGAACGCCGTCGTGCTCAGCCTCCCGATGGCCTTCCCAGCCTCCTGGGTGCCTCTGGACCTCTGCCTACCCTCACTGCCACCCAGGGGCCTCCGCTCTGTCCTTTGTCCCCGCTATGCCCAGTCACCGAACCCGAGCTCTGGAGCAGGTGTGAGCCAGCTGTGCTCTGGCCATCCTGGCCGCCCCACTGAGGGGCCTTTTGTGCTTAGGTCCTGGCCCAGACTCGCCTGGGAAGCGGACGGTGGATGACGCCAGAGAACATTCAGGAGATGTACTCAGCCATCAAGGCCGACCCCGACGGGGACGGTGAGCTCACGCCTTCCCGGGGCTCCCAGGCACTGCCATGTCCTCCCCTGCCTGCCATGGGCCGCCTTGGGTGCCCACTTCTACAGGACGGTGACAGCTTAGAGAGCAGTTCTCGGGAACTTCTGACCCCCTCAGGCCATCTAGACTCAGAACAGGAAGCTGGCTGCTGGCTGGCCGAGGGCAGGGCAAGGGCGCAGCGAGGCCTGTCCCCTGCTGCAGCCCCTCTCCAGTCCCAGCAAAAGCCTTGGCCAAGCCAGGTCTCCTTGAAGTTAGCCCAAAGAGCCCAAGTCGGGGGGCGGTGGTGTGGTTAAAGCTCTGGACTCCCACATGGCTGGCCACAGTTCAAGTCCTGGACCCGGCAGCTTGACCAGGCACATGGGTATGAGTGCCCAAAACCCCAGGGGGAATAGAGGAGAGACTGTGGTGTGGCCACCCCCGGAGGGCGATTTCTCACTCTCCCTCTCTCAGAAGCAATCTGGTGAGCACACAACATTAAAAAAAAAAAAGCCATAGCACTCAAGTGGCAGTGTGGCTGTTTTGCCCACCACTGGGAGGGGTGGCAGGGAAGCTGTCGTGCAAGTGGTCCCTCTTTTGGTGACAACCCCCAAGAGGCTACTAGAGTGTGGTCCATCACCCCCAAGCCCACGTTCTGGGCCACCGGAGGAAGACAAAGCAGCCAGCAGGGAGTCCCCTGTGGCTGGGGACACAGAATGTCTGCAGGGCTGTCATACTGCCACCACTCCGGGACAGCTGGTGATGGCTCGCAGCCTTGAGCGGCCCTCACCCCCAGAGGATCTGGGCCCTCGAGTCAGGTAGAACACAGAACAGATGCAGCTACTCTTCAGAACCCCCAGACGGCAGGTGCCCCGGCAGGAGTGGGGGAACAGAACAGCCCGGCTCCTCGGCCAGGTGGGCCCCGCGAGGGTGGGACCTGAGTCACAGGGAACCCTCGCACCCTCCTGCACTAGCGGCTCTCTCTCCTCCCCCTTGGAGGGGCCATGGGATGGACAGAGCTAGGCTGGAGGGCTGGCTGGCCTAGGCCTCGCTTTGGCCACTGTCGTAGGGGTTGGGCTTCTTCCTTTTGGGGCCCAGTCAGGGCTTAAACTGAGAAAATGAACTTCTCTGGGTCTTCCCTTAGGGCCCGATGTGACAGACACCAGGTTCATCTGACCCAAGAGTCCAGGTGGGGGACATTGCACACGGCCCCCCAGTGCCTGAGGCTGGGGGCTGCCGCGGCCTGTGGGGTCAGTGGGGAGGGCAGCCTGCCCCGTGGCCTGCCCGGTGGGCACAGCGGGCCCTGATGGCTGGTGCCCTGTGCAGGAGTGTTGAGCCTGCAGGAATTCTCCAACATGGACCTGCGTGACTTCCACAAGTACATGCGGAGCCACAAGGCGGAGTCCAGCGAGTTGGTGCGGAACAGCCACCACACATGGCTCTACCAGGGTGAGGGTGCCCACCACGTCATGCGTGCCATCCGCCAGAGGTGAGCCCCTGAGGCTGTCCTCCCCGGGGCGGGGCCTGCACGGCGGTCCTCGGCTGGGCCGGAAGGACAGAATCTACTAGCCAGTTAGAATTAAGTTCCACTTCTTAGACCAGGACTTTGAATAAAAGGCAGTTAAGCCAGCAGGTGGCATGGTGGTTAAGGCAGCTGGATCCCACATGGTTGGCTGTGCGGGTCAAGTCCTGGACCCAGTGGCTTGGAAAACATGCTGGTCACGTGTATATGCAAGCCCAAAATCCCAAGAGGATGGAGGAGAAAGGCCTGCTGTGTAGCCATCTCCATGGGGGGTGCTTTCTCGCTTTCTCTCTGTCTCGTTCTCAAGCTCATGTGCCCTATGGCAAAAAACAAAATACAAGCGGACAGGTAATTAACCAAGGGAGACGAGCCCTAATTGTGAGTGTACAGTATATAGTTAGAGACAGATCAAACATTGAGTGTTTTGCAAACTAGAGAAATTACCCCTTATCTCTGTCCCACAGGACCCTCTGCCCCTAAGCAGGCAGGGGTTCCAGATAAACAGTGTCTTTGAGGTGACAGCCTCATCCTCCCCATCACCCTAATTGAATGCAAACCTCATCTGTCCTACCCAGTGGCATCCAGGGAGAACCCGCCTCCTGAGTAACTGCAGGAGTAACCCTTCCCATTCTGAGACAGCCTGAGGGGCTTCCCGGGAGGTGGGCAGCAGCAAAGTCCATGGTCCTCGTGGCCAGCTCCTGCAGGCTGCCGCCTTGCACCGGGCTGACCCTGCAAATGGCTGCTCCCCACAGGGTGCTGCGCCTCACTCGCCTGTCGCCTGAGATCGTGGAGCTCAGTGAGCCGCTGCAGGTGGTGCGCTATGGTGAAGGGGGCCACTACCACGCGCATGTGGACAGTGGGCCTGTTTACCCAGAGACCATCTGCTCCCACACCAAGGTGGTAGCCAACGAGTCCGTACCGTTCGAGACCTCCTGCCGGCAAGTACCTCCCACCTGCCTTAGATCCCCAGACCTGACACTGCCATGACGCGGGCCCAGCCCCTTTGTGGGCATGCCCTTTGGCATGGGGTCAGGAGAGCCCTGGGCCATCCTGGTCAACAATGGCCTTAGCTTTCCTTTGACTTGTTTACCAAGTTCCAGGAAAGGGGATGCCCCTGGCCATCATGTCCCCTTGAGTCAACACAGATTGAGGGACCCACGGACACCAGGTCATGCTCCCAGAGCTCCAAAGGGGGCAAGGCTGGGCCCCAGTTCTTTCCACTCCCCCTCCCCCCATACTGATCTTGATGCCCATGCTGGAGGCCCCAGCGTCTCTGTGACACTGTGCTCCCTCCCCTGCCAAGCATGAAGGCGTCTGCCCTTCTGGATCCGTCCCTCCCGGTCCCCAGTGAGACCTGCATGACCTTGCAACTCTCCCAGCCTGCCCCTGGTCAGGGCCATGTAATTCGGCCCAGTGCCCCTATGATCCGAGCCAAAAAATACTCGACACACAGTAAGAGACTGGGTTTGGGGGAAAGAGGAGGGGTCAGGGACATCTTGGTTGTGTCCTACCCTGTTGTCACCCATGCCAGCCTGCCCCTCTGGTTCCTGGGGACCTGGGACAGGTAAGCCCTGGAGGCATCTGCAACCAGGGACCTGCTCAGCGGCCCCCTGCCTTGCAGCTACATGACAGTGCTGTTCTATCTGAACAATGTCACCGGTGGGGGCGAGACTGTGTTCCCTGTAGCAGACAACAGGACCTATGATGAAATGGTAAGTGCCAGCTTGGTCTGGGACGAGTGCAGTCCCCTGGGCAGATCTGGCTGGTTTCCCTTGGGCCACCTTTGCCATCTGCCCATGGCTCCTGGTCGTGCTGCGAGGACAGTCTGACGGCCCACCACCCTGCTGCCCACAGAGTCTGATTCAGGACGATGTTGACCTCCGTGACACTCGGAGACACTGTGACAAGGGGAATCTGCGTGTCAAGCCCCGGCAGGGCACAGCCGTCTTCTGGTACAATTACCTGCCTGACGGCCAAGGTGAGAGCCAGTGGCCAGGCCAGGGGATTGCCGGAGGGTTCCCCTTACTCAGTCCCCTGCCCGCCACCCCAGAAGGCTATTTCTGGCTGTCCTCCAGATGTTGTTTGTCCCTGGTGCCTCCCAAAGGCCATCCTTAGTGACATCAGCAGGCTGCCCCAGGCCCCTGTGAGGACCCCGGCCTTGCCTGGTGCCCTATAGCTTCCTGTTCTCTGGGGCTGGGATATCCCTCACCAACCCTGGCTATGGATAGGCCTGGCAGCAAGAAGGCGTGTTCCCAAGGTGCTGACGTGGCTAGTGGGGCCAGCTCCCACGGAGGGCACCTCGTGCACAGCGGCTACCGCTGGCCTGCCCTCTGGCTCACACCACCCTCGTCCCCTAGGTTGGGTGGGCGACGTGGACGACTACTCCCTGCATGGGGGCTGCCTGGTCACGCGCGGCACCAAGTGGATCGCCAACAACTGGATCAACGTGGACCCCAGTCGGGCACGGCAAGCGCTGTACCAGCAGGAGATGGCACGCTTGGCCAGGGAAGGTGGCAGCGATGCGCAGCCCGAGTGGGCCCTGGATCGGGCCTACCGCGATGCGCGCGTGGAGCTCTGAGGAGGGTCAGCCCCGGCCCCCGCTGCGATGCCCACCGCCCAAGGCCGGACTGAGCTGTCCTGTCCTGCTGCAGACTAAAGGCCTGGCTGATGCCTCGTCCGCCCCCGCCACCAGCCGCGATTACGGCGCAGTCCCCATATTCCTGTTATTTATTGTGTGCAA